CCATGATCCCCACTGCTGATTTTCAAATCCAACGCGGTCAACGTCCATGGGGCTTGGTCCAGAAGTGTCATTACTGTCTGTGCCCAAAGCAAGTGTCGCCGACCACTTCTGCTGGCTACGCTTGAACTTGAGGATGTTCTCTCTGATCTGGGCATAGGTCGTTGTATCTGACACCACCATGTTGAGCTGCGTGCGAAGGTTTCCCGAAACACACTTCAACAGAATTGCTGCACGAATGTCATCTTGCAAAGTCACTCCCACACTGCTACTCTCATTGAAAGCTTCTTCCAACTTCAAAATCTGCGCTTGCAAACTCTTGTTCATGTCAAACGAAGGCCACGACGATATTGCTGCAACAATTGCCAATCCACGAGATTTGGACTGAGGGCGCAATGCTGCACAAAGTTGCCGCCATGCCTCAAGGCCATTGGATTCAGGCACTGCCTTCACAACTGCCAATGCTCTGTTGCGCACCAGACTGGAAAGCAAACCATACATCTTCATGCTGCGCACTTGGTTGTCTGAAGTCAAATTTCCCATGACAATCTCGGTCTCAGAATGTTCCTTTATGGCTGCAAGCAAAACAGGAAATTGTTCATCCACTGCTGACAAATAATTCTCAAACTGCCATGCCCATTCGCGAAATGCTTTGGTTTCCTCATCTGCACTGCGGTAATTGAAAATCTCAGGTCGGGGAATCACCTTAAACCAATCTGCTTGCGGGGGCCTACTCGAAGAACCGTTCCCTGTGGCCGATTGCCCGGCACGTCCAGCTGCGCTCGCTGCAGATTCTGCTGCCTGGGCTGCTGCCACAGTCGCCTCTGTCATACGTTGTAAAATTGCTCCAAGTTGTTGAGGATCCATGATTGCAATACCACTGCCAGAACTAATCAAGCAGACACAGTAAAAGCAAATCACGCGAGATCACAGCTATGGCGCCTAGCTGCCCAGGTTCTCTTAACCAGGCAGCTCCGCTACCACGATCACTTTTCCTTGACGCAATCAAAAGCCTTCGGTATGTAAAGCTCAAGCTTATTCAAGAGCAACTGCAGGAAAACCATGACAAACCTATACAAGTGTCCATGACATGCCATCATGTTGAAATGGAGTATCCAGGGGTCACAAAGTTTGATCAAAAAAGAAAAAAGCTCCACCCGTTGGAAGGGAAGCTCTGGACACGCAGCAACTGGCCAGTCTTTTTCAATCCTTGGTGGAGCTAGGCCGTGGCCACAAACAAAAAAAGGGTCCTGCGGGCTGCGTGGGGCTTGTCTTTGTTTACAAACTTCAGGTTCGGAAAGACTTGCAGCGTGCCCGTGTCCATGTCTGCCAAATCGCAGTATAGCTGAGCAAAAGCTTCGTGCTCCGACGACAAGAGCTGTCCCGCCAGCTGCTCGTCGGCTGCTGCGTCGGCGTTGAACATCTCACAACGCGCCCAAGCCACTGCTGAAACGCAACTGCGTCCGGGGACAAGCCACCTGAGCTGGCACAGTTGGCTTCAGGCAGTCCTTGAATTCTTCTGCACCAGCAAAAGGGGTGGCCAAATCATGAAGCAAATGCACAACAGCCGTGGCAACTCCGACCGCAGAGAAGTCATGAAGCTTCCGTGCGCCCAGAAGCATGTGCTGGGGACGCAAATCCTCTGCGCACGTTTGCCCTCGCAAGACAAGGATCGTCTTTGAGCAGTCCGAGTGCACAGTGACGCGGGAGGCAGCGTTGAGCGTTTGTCGCGTGCGAGCCCGCAGCGACTCGGCCAAGCAAAACTTGAGCTTCTGGGCTCGGATGTCTTCATTTGATGCTGCGGCCTGGTGCCTTTTGGTTTTCTCATGGTCTCGGAAGTGGCTGACCTGCAATGAAGCAATGGTTCGAAACTCCGCTGACACATGCCCAGCTGCTTTGCGGAAAAAAACTTAAGTCCAGAGGGCCTCTGGAATCCGAAGGTCGACTCAACAAGCCGCAGCGCTGTGGACTGTCCAAAGAACTAGAAACGTTCGAACACCGGGAATTTTGCGTTCCCCGAAATCCAAGAATTGTAGTCCACTCGACGGTCCGCAGCGCTGTGGTTTGTGGAGACAACTTATGGAAACCGGAGACCCTCTGGACAAATGGGGTCTGTGGAAAAAAACTTAAGTTTTTTTCCGCGGACCAAGCTGATCGGGCGAGCGTACGTGTCATGTGGGAAACTGGATGGACGTGACCGGACTGTCTCTCGGCAACCCTTGATCCTCAGCACTTCATGACGCCGGACGTCCTGATTCAATGTCCTTGGCTGGCCGCATGTTTTAAGCACCGTTCGATCTGCGTTTGACATCTCTCTGCAGCAGCAGCGGGGGCACGCCGCCGACACAAATCCAATGTGCTGGGGCAAGCCACCAACGCGGGCCGGGGCACGCCGCCTGAGCCACATCATGGTTACCAAACTCACAAACTTACGCGGCAGAGCGCGCAAAAGCCCAGCGTTGCGGCTCAGTTGGGCTCCCTGTCCGTGGGGTCGTCCTCCTCTTCCTCGGCTGGGTCTTCAGTGGCCGGCGGCGCGGCAGCCTTAGCCTTGACTCGTCTGCCTGCTTGGGGGCTGGTCCGGCGCCTGGAGCAGGCGGCGCAGCTTTCAGCATGTTCTCCACCAGGTCGACCAGCGCCGAGCCACTGTTCGGCGGCCCTGCCCCCCCGTTCTTGGCAGGAGGAGGCACTGGGGCGAAGCTGCCAGCCTGGCTTTGCTCACCGGCGGCGCTTTTCCTCCGGCCTTGCCCCTCGTCAAGTTGCTGTCACCGCTGTCCGCCTGCGTCGTGGTTGGCAGGCACGGCGAGACCACTTGGTTTCAGACTGGTTTGAAATATTAAAGCAGCAGAATAAACACTGCGTCTGTGCATAAAACAAAGCACTGGCCTGCAGAGCGTCGCGCAGCTCTGCAGCGTAATGCTGACTGCTTGGGCTCTGCACGTGTGCCCACTGCCGCACGACATTATGTGAAGACTATTTTCCAGGCTGAGGTAAGCCGCCAACGCCGTCGCTGCTGCGGCTGCCTTGCTCGTCAGTCTGACCCTTGCCCGCCGCGCTGCCGCCTTTGAGGCCCTTCCCGCCAATTGGCGCAACCACGCCCATGAAGAAACCTACGATGACGCCAGCAACGAGCGCAATCGACATGGCTGCAGCTTTCACGCAAGTGATCCAGCACGCTCCGAGGAGCAAGTTACAAGCCCCCCAAGGATGAGATATGGTCGCAAAGGCTCCGGCGACATATTAGTCGGGCCCGCAGTTTGTACAGTCACGCATGCAAGGCCAAGCCGTATCAAGGTCAACTAGAAATTCTGGTGTGGTTTGCAATACCTGCGAAAGCGGTCTGCAAGCCTTTTATCACTGTGTCTTAAGTCTGCAAGGACTATGTGCACAATATCTTTGAGCCAAATGTTGAAGAAAACATAGAACCCAAAAAACTCAGAAACCTAGCTCTATCTATATATATATATGTTTGTTTGAGCCAGAAATTACTGCTCTCCGGGCTCCACACCATAGTCTACAAGTTGTTCTTGACTTGGCTTTGTCGTTGGTTCCTTTGGGCCCCTTGTTCTGAATGTCAATCAAACTGCATGTTTTCCACATGCTACAGCATGCTTGGAACTGTTTCTTTAAATGGTCAAATTCAAGCAAAGCAATGATTCACACAAGGCTGTTGTTGAACAATGCCTACAGAACTTGGACCACTGGGGGGGCCACTTCGATTTTTGGTGTTGAGTTGAAATTGGAAAGAAACCTCCCACCCTAAATGGGTTTACCAACGCTTTGAAACAACTCGAAGTTTGCGATGGAACGCACGAGCCGCGCGACCCCTATGGCTCTGCGTCGGAGATGCACCTTTGAACTTGAGAGCGCAGCAAAATCGTTAGACTCAGCACATGCACTATACACAGGTAGACAGCACCTGGCGCGAAAAGGTGACAGGCAGCAATGGCCAGCTTTGCTGCGATGGCTGGGAGGCTCAGCCTTTCTCCGGTATGCCCTCTTTGGCCTCAATGATCCTTTCCCAGTGCATTGCCAGGAACAGCCCAAAGCGTTGAAAGAAGCGTGCCAAAATGTTACTTCCAGGGCAAGCTGAGGCTAACTGGGTCAAATGACCCAACATGTCTTCCTCCGCCAGAGTCTTGTGGTGCCTGGAGTTTTCATCACTCCACTGGAGGGCATGGATCAGGTGAGCCAGGGAATGCCTCAGCAAATTTCAAAACACACAAATCATTGACACATTTTGCTTCGCCAAACAACTAACCATAAGGACAAAGTTTCTACGTTGAAGCTGAGCGCCACTTCGGGCGGATTTTGTAGTTCAAGCGCCCAGCTGACAAAGACTGGGCAGATCGCCGCCCATAAGCAGAAAGGCACGTCACCCCTGCTTTCAAGCCACGAGAACGAAGAGCCTCGCCCAATCGGATGTCCGGCCGGTCAGTTACCCAGAGGTAGTCGCACATACCCCACAAACTCAGGGATCGATCTTTGCACCCAGAACCTTAGCCGTTACAGTTGGGTTGTGGGGGATGCCTTTCAAATTAAAAAATATGCCGCGCATGTGTCAAGTACTTTTCAATCCTTGTCAGGAGGCACTTGCAAAGGTGATAAATCTCTGTCGCAATTTCGCTCAAGAAGAAGAGAATGGGTTTGGTGTGGGAAGCCTTCACGTTGGAATCCAAAACTGGGTACTCAGTCTTGCAGTCAGAATCACCGCGGCCAATGAGGTGTAAGTTCCATGTGCATGGCGGGGTTTCAATCTTCTTGCTCCTGCACCATCGACGAAAGGCCACTCCAACTTTGTTCATGACAGTCTCCCCGGAATCTTGACAGCTCAGCACCACGCCCTGCAGGCTGCGAAGCTCTGCCGCCCCACACGCACGCAGGCGGGCTCGGATGGGGAGCTCGACCTGAGAAAATGGGAAGGCAAAGCGTTTGTAGACTCTATGCCTAAAGTTGAAAAGCGCTTGTTTGGGTCATTGTTCAAAGCGTGCCCCCGGCCAATACAGCTAATGCTGCCGCAAAGCGAGGTCAACAAGGAAAGCTGCAGCCAGGTCCTTTCCTGCCCCCAACAAAATTGTGTGAGCAGAATCCCACCTGACCCTGGCAATGTCGAAGCCGGGTACTTCGAGCCAAGGAGTTAAGTTGGAGGGCGGCGTTTCTTGCAAGTACGTTGCATGGTTTCGGATTGTCTTGGTCCACGGGGCGTCCAAACTGAAGTTGGAGAACACCAAGGGCAGCAATGCTGCAGGGGTCTTGGCGAAGGGTTTGATAGCCTCGCACTGGTCACAGATCCGCATGCTTTGGTAGTTCCTTTTCACGAACTCGTGCGAGAGGCTACGCTCTTTCCAATCCCCAGTCCAAGATTCAAAGGCAGCGCGCCAGCCGCCGCAGATCAGGTCCCCTGCCTTGAGAGCTCGGTCGCCCGTCAAAGCGTTGCCAAATTGATCTGTGTGAGGAAAGCGCCCCTCCAGGAGGCTCTTACCTTAGCGCAAATGTCTGTGACAAGCGATGTTAGGGCGAATCTTCTCAACACATAAGGACCCCGTAACATTTCAGAATGTGGAAAAGTCACCACTTTCTCACATCGCTACCCAGTTTCAATCCCAGCTGATGGCCTGCACCACTGCCCTGTTGGCTTTGGTCCTAAGCATTTTGGATGGAAGGTACCGCATCGGAATTGCTGCAAAGGGAAACTTAGTGCTCCAGTTCTTTGAGGACAATGTGGAGCTCCACATCCAAATCAATAGCTCATGGTTGGTGTTGAACTGTGCTCCATCAGTGAACCACTTGACCTTACAGAAAGAATCAACTAAATGATTTGCTTTTTGTAGCACCCACAGAAAGCAAACAAGCTGGCCAAGGCTCTGGGATGGCCTGGTGTTGTAAACCCAACCTTGGTTGACTCAAGCCCTTGCAAAGGCGCTGTGAATGGAAAACAGTAAACTTGAAAAACTGCACACAGCAAAACCCGCAGGCTCCACAAACGCAGCCTGATGGCTTCACCACTGGATGTGCGGAGGCCCAGTCGTGCTGAGCAGCTGTCCAGAAGGCGGAGGTTTTCTCTGAGGTAACCCCGACGCAAACATCCCAAAGCTTGTCACTCTGCCGACTCCACAGAGAATGCAAAACATCAGACGCCAACAAAATTGGGATTTCTTTTTGTTGGACACTAGCCGTGTCGGGATCATAAACTTCGATCACAGTTGAATGGGTTGTCAGCCGAGACCCGTGCGCGTACGGCATCCACCTGTGGAAGTCCCGCTCCACGTTTTGCTGGTGTTTTCCCCAGCAGGCCAAACTCGCTAAAGCACGAAGCGTGTCTTCCGTGAGGCCGTCGTCATACGCTGCTGCCGCATAACGTTGGGCCGTGCTCACGCAAATCTCCTGAGCCCGCGACGAAATGGCGGTAATTTCATGGGTCATGGCTGAGTAGCCACCCTTCGTTTTGCGGCTCCTGTGAAAACAAAGCTCTTTTGGTAGTCTGTAAAAACCCGGCCAAGGCGCCCTTTTGTTTGTTCTTTCAAGTGACATCCAACCCCAAAAAGGGCGCCCTCACAGAACCCCCTCATGTGTGTGTCCGTGCGTCAGCATTTTTTCAGGCAACCCTCATCAACAAGCGAACCAGCGCGAACTGAAAATACGTCATGAACCCTTTGCCCTGCGGTGCTTTTTTTCAAGTGTGAGAAAACATTAAAAAGGGTTACGCGACCCAATCAAGAAGCCCGCGCGGTCAAGGTGCCCGTTCACTTTCCTTGTTATGGAGAGGGTTGCCGACAGGCGTACACAGTGTTGCTTGTTTTCAGCTTCTTTTTGATTTGGGAGAAAAAAATCAAGTTCAATGAGCAACCAAAAGGGGTATTGACCAGAAGAGGAAGATCTATTGCTTAAAAACAAATGTTTATGGGCGCTTTGGAATTTGCAGACCTGGGTGGAGGGGTGGGGGGTGGTTAACCAGAAAAAGATCCTCATTCAAGACTCATTGCTGCGAAAGGTTGCCGAGTTGCAAATCATTGCTTTGAAGGGACCCTTTTCGGGGGTTGGTTGCTTTAAAAGGCGCCCTTTTGTTTGCGCTTTGAAATGAAAAAACACGTCCGGTCACACAAGGCACCCCGCGGGTCAAGTCCCACAAGATCTCACGCGCCAGCCCGCTTCCAGGCCGATCTGCTTTGATCCGCCGCCGGGGAAGGCCTGGCACAGCGCCACAGAGCGAGCGAGCGAGCGAGCGAGCGAGCGAGCGAGAGAGAGAGAGAGAGAGAGAGAGAGAGAGAGAGAGAGAGAGAGAGAGAGAGAGAGAGAGAGAAATAAAAAAAAAAAGAGAGAGAGAGAGAGAGAGAGAGAGAAAGAGAGAGAGAGAGAAAGAGAGAGAGAGAGGCCAGGGTTGACCACGTGCAAGTAGGCTGAGCATGCAAGCGCCAATTTTGATTTTCACGCGTTGGTGCCCTGCACTCATCCATACACGAGTGACAAGCCCCCAGATTGGATGCCAAAACTAGGCGTGAGGCGCGGTTGCCCACGGATGGTGAACTTGGCTGCTATATGAGGAAACCAGGCAGTTGCATATGGTTTGGAAATAGACTCCCACATGCCACCTCGAACCACCAAGCCTCACATGCTTAATCGGCCCTTGTGGCCGCCTGGCGCATACTGTTTGCCACCTTCTTTCGAGCCTTGTACCAAGCGCTGTACGTATTCGCTTGGTCAAACAGCTTCGAGTAAGCGCTTTGATCATTCACTTGGGCCTGCGTGAGCTTATTGAGCACACGATACAGCTCAGTCATCACCTCTGCGTGTTGCTGTAGAGACGTGCTGAGCTCTTGGCTGCACTCCAACCCCTCAATGGCAACGCAAGTTGTGCGAGCTTCTTCAGCTTCCTTCAACCTAGGTGAGCAGTGTTCGGACGCATTGAACAAGATATTCTAGCACTGTTAGAAGACAGTTTAAAAACATCGGTTGACACACTAAGACCGTTGGACTTGTAAAAGCCAAGAAGCACTGCCTTCTTCAAAGCAGTGGCTTTCTCAAGGGGTGTGGTCTCCTTCACTTCTTCGGCATTCTGTGGGGAACCCTGGTCTCCTTGAGAATTCTGGATAGATTGGCCCGCGGAAGGGCTAGCTTTGGCCTTGGCTTTGCTCTTGGCTTTGGGTTTCCCCTTGGCCTTTGCCTGCGGCTCTTCAGGATTGAGAGCAGGAGGGGCAGCTTCGAGCTCCAGCGCAGCGTCCTCAGTGAAGACGCCGCTCGTGAGCAGGGCAAGGGCTTCATCGGCTGACGTCCGTGTTGTTGAGCGAAGGTTCTGCTCTTCCTCAAAGGTGTTGCGTTTTTCCCTCGAAGTCTCCAAGACCAAGAAGTATTGGCGAAGCTTTTCGTTGCCCGGGAAGTTTGGGTCGTCCATAAACCGGCCGGTCCGAGTGGCATTTGCGATAAGGGTGTCCACCTCATTCTTGTCGTACCTCCCATCCATCTCCAACTGCCGCCTGCTCCAACAAACTTCCTTCTCGCCATGCGACTTGCTCTGCACGCAGCGACGCTTCATCTCCACCTCAACCTGGGAAAAATCACGGCCCTTCTCCAGCCAGACTTTGAAGAGCTCGTTGCGGGAAATATTTCCACCGTTAAAAGTGGGGATCAGGGTCTTGGCCATCTTTGACCTTGGTTGCTCTTAGGAAGGGTCAATAGCTCTTGAAACTCCACTTTCAAAGTTGCGAACACGCAAACAAAAAGCTGTTGGTGCCCAGTTACGGGTTTCTTGCTGATCGAAGAAAAGCCATGTACTCCGCTCGGTGGGTGTTTGAGTTTGGTCCGGCTTCTGTGTTCTGCCCTGTCTTTGGCGCCGCTGACGCAACTGCCTCGGCAGCTTTGGCAGAAAGCTGGCTTGGGGGGAACGCAGGTTGGGTCTGTCCGTGGGCTGGAGGTGGGTCTTCTTGCACAGTGATCTTGGGTGCTTTTGGACCCATCGTCTGTGTTGCGGGTCCTGGGGTGGCTGGCGGGGCGGCTTGCTGAGCAGGATGCGAAGGGGGCGCCGCAGTGTGCGGCGAGGATGCTGGTGGCGCAGGCGCGTGCAACGACGGCGCCGGTGGCGCGGCTGGCTGGGCTGGCGGCTGGGCTGGCAGCGCAGCTGGTTGGGCTGGCAGCGCAGCTGGTTGGGCTGGCAGCGCAGCTGGCTGGGCTGGCAGCGCAGCTGGCGGTGCAGCTGGCTGGGCTGGCGGCGCAGCTGGCTGGGCTGGCGGTGCAGCTGGCTGGGCAGGGCTTGCTGGCGCGGGGGCTGCGGGGGCTGCTGGGTGGTGGGCGGGATGCGGCGGCGGCGCAGGGGCCAACTGCGCAAGTGCTGGGTGTGCCTGCGTTGTTTGCGTAAAGGCGGGGTGAGCGCGCTCAGTTGCCTCCAAGTTCACCTCCTCCACCTCCTCCACCTCCTCCACTTCTTCTTCCTCCTCCATTCTTTGCAACTCTGCTTCCACTTCCTTTTCAAACTTGTCCAAGTCATCTGGTTCCTCTCCATCCACGTCTGTGCCCATCATGTCCTCATCACGATGCGACTCCGACGGCGCAGAGGACACGTAGCCAGCAGCAGTGGAGATGTCGTCCTTAGAAAAACAGTTGCACCGGTTAAAGTAATGATGGGGTTGTGAAAGTGTGGTAGACTCACTTCAACAAAGTTGCATTGGTTGAAGTAATGATGGGTGTGGGATTTGGAAAAAACTGTTGCAGACTCAGCCTAGGCTCGGCCAACTCATCCCAGGCAATCCCGTTTAGTTGGGCTGCCAGCTTGAACTTCTCTAACAACTCTGTTTTTGCCAGCTTTGCCTTTGGCACTGCCCCTGTTGAGCTCGGTGTGGAAGGTGAGGCGGTCCGCTTCTGAGGGGTTGTTGGCCGGTAAGTGCAAGGATCAAAGAAACGTTTGATGTTTGCAGGAGTTGTGTGGCGTTCTTCTACATGTTGTGTGCGAGCCTGGGGGGTCGCGACAGCTGACGAAGGAGTAGAAGAAGCCCCGCCAGCTGTGAAGCTCGGGTGAACAGGCACTGGGGGCGGCATGATGGCAAACCAAGTCCAACTAGTTGCTGGGCAAAACTGCAGAACGCGTGAAGCGTGAAGTTTCACGAGTAATCACGGCACCATCACGGAGTAGTAACGGCATCACGGGTTTACAAACTGGTCCCACCGTACACAGGACTCCATTGACACTCGTGGCGCATTTCTGTTGGGACCCCTTAAGAACAGCCAGCCCGCCCTATCTGCCTCCATCCACTCGGTCTTCGTCCAATAGAGAAGCCACCCGCTTCATCCAAGGCCTGCGTGCCCGGCGCACACGGGCAAAGATCCGTTTGGAGGGTTGCAGGTTTTTGAAAAGGATACCCGCTTTAGGGGTCGCCCCGAACGAGTTGCCTTTTTGGGGTAACCCCTGAAAAAGCATTTCGGAGGGTGGTTTACCCATGTTGGGGCTTGGGTGACGGTTGTTTTTGGCAGAGTTCCGGCACCATGCTAGTTTAGCCTACCTTCCTCCCTTTCAAACCATTTGTTAAGGGCAACAGCTGAGCAGGGAGGGAAACCTGTTGACTCCCTTTCAAACCCTTTGTTAAGGGCAACAGCTGGGCAGGGAAGCCTGTAGATAAGCCCATTGAAGTGTCTTTGTTGGGTTCTGGCTAGCATCTGTTTGCCACTCCAATTAACTGCTGTTGGAATCAGCTGGAAACATGGTTCAAAGAGATTTGGTGGCAAACATTGGGCAAGTGGTGTGTGTTCAAGAAACTGTGTCAGGGAGACCCTCTTCCACAACACCCTTCAAAACAATACTTGATTGGTACCCTGTGCATTGTAACTGAAAGTCCCAACCTTCTCAGCGCAGCGGATGTGGAAGCTCGCAAGGTCACCGTGCACTGCCTGGCCCAGCCGCAGGCAAGCTAGTCTTTGGGCAGATGGGCGGGGTGCAGTTCAAAGGGCCCTACAGGCAAGTCGCTCGTGCCAGAATCAGAACAATCGATTTCCCATTTTCCCCCACGTGCGGCAATCGCAATCTTGCTTTGCTTCAAGCACGTGTGCACACACACGCATCAAATTATCAAACGCTGCCAAAAGCGTGAAAGCCTCTTTGCACACAACGGACCCTGCCGGGCTAACCAACCGTGAGATATTGCATCACTTCACAAATGTTGGCATCTGCCCAAGACTCTTTCTTGGTCAACGGCGCCCAAATGGCTGGGATGATGGCAGATTTCAAATCCGGGATGGGAAGCTCTGGCTCAGAGAGCCACGCTGCAAGTGTAGTCACTCCAAACTCGGGTGTGTATGTTTGCGAGGCCTTAAGCCCCTTGCTTCCACAGATCGATGACCGTCCATCGGAAAGCTTTGTTTTTGTCACAATATCCGAGCTCCAGTTCCGGTTTTTTGGGAGACTGCGAGCAAACTTTCCAACGTTTGGGCGCGAGCTGTACAGGTGCGTGCCCTTCGGGCTTTCAGCTTTGAAGGCCCCCATCCATGTAAAGCACCGGTAAACTGAGCGTTCGCGTGTAAACTCCTGTTGTCTCGGGTGCTCCCACAACAGGCTGGTGCTGGGCTGCTCATACAACCAGTAGCACTGCTTGGCTTCCAGCAGCCATAAAATCAGACACATACGGCTGACCATGACCTGATCCACAGCGGTGAAGAGCATGGTCTTGACCCCAAGCACTAACACATTGCAAGAGTAATGCTGCCCAGGAGCGTTTGCTTCAGAGACAAACCTGAAGTGCTGAAACCCGAGCGGCTGCCACATAGTGCGGCCACTCCTAAAAGCAAAACATCACAAGTCTCAACTGTTTTGATCCCACCTGTGTGTGTGTTGCTTGTTTACTATCTCATCCAAGATTCGAGGAGCGGGAAAGGAACACCCACGATGAACATACGGTGGCAATCATGCTGAATCCCCCACGCCGAAGACGAAGAGACAATAAGAACGCCAACGCAAACCTTGGAGCTCAAACAGGTTAGGCCCGTGACAAGAGAAAACTGGGCCAAGAGCTACAACACTACTTTTGTAAGGCAGGAACCCCTGAGGGCTCAGGATGTCCATAAATGGCAAAAGCCTAATTTCAAAAGGCGCGCAATTGTATCCACTCCTGGCCCACGATCGCGTCACTGCCATCTCGCCGGCAAAATATTCCACCATGTCCAAGTCCATGGGCAGTTCGCCCACACACCGAAAGATCAAGCAGACAAGCTGCATGACAACTCTCGGCGCGGTAATGAGGGCCAATGCAGCAAGGGTGCCATTCAACTGCAGGGGTCGGCTAAATGTTGTTGCGAGAAGGGCTTTGTAAAATTTCACAGCACCACTTACTTGCTGGAGCTCAGTCCAAAACAGTGGCTCGCACCGTTTCAAACCAAGCCAGGTTTCCCAGAGGGGCAAAAATACTTGTTAAGCGCGCAACCCATCAAGTGTTTCACCGGTCTTTCAACAAGTGGCTTTGTTGCCACGTTGACTTTCCATCAATTTAAACAAGTACCCCTACACCCCGAGGTGTCCTGCTTTACTTTTCGAGAACTTTCGCCCGGAAGAGGGCCTTGGAAAACAAACAAGACCAATAAAACGTTGAGGAACGCTTCAACAACACTTAAACAAGGGAGCGTTTGGCGCCACGGGTCAAATGCCGTTCGGGACACGCGGGCTTTGCTGCGGCACAGGCCTTCTCCTGCATGTCCGTGGACAAGGCTTTGCTGCGCGTCAGGCCCCGCTCGATCTCGCACATGGAATCTGAAAGTTGCTGTAGCCCAGGCTTGTTCTCTTGAGAGGCCTTTAGCTTCTTGATGTCTTCTTTCATGTTCTTCTCAACGGCATCCCTGTTCTTCTTGGGAATCGTTAAGACGCGCAATCCCTTGCCCATGGCTGACCCTCGCACGCTTTGACGCAAGCAGCTTTCAAAGCGTAAAGGGCTGACCCGTCGACTGGCAGTACATACAAGTTAAGGCGGCAAAAAATTGCCTGAGTCTACGCAACACATTGGCCGAAAAGGGTTCCCTGTTTTCTGGAAAATAAAGCCAACCAAAATGCTTTGACGCAAGCAGCTTTCAAAGCCTAAAGGGCTGACCCGTCGACTGGCAGTACATACAAGTTAAGGCTGCTAAAAATTGCCTGAGTCTACGCAACACATTGGCCGAAAAGGGTTCCCTTTTTTCTGGAAAATAAAGCCAACCAAAATGCTTCGACGCAAGCAGCTTTCAAAGCCTAAAGGGCTGACCCGTCGACTGGCAGTACATACAAGTTAAGGCTGCTAAAAATTGCCTGAGTCTACGCGCAACACATTGGCCGAAAAGGGTTCCCTTTTTTCTGGAAAATAAAGCCAACCAAAATGTAACACATGAGTGCCCTTCTTCAATTGTCTCTATAGACGGAATTCAGATTCATTGGCGCACGCTTCTTGCCATCAACTGTTGCTGGCTCAATTTGCTAAGGTTCTACAAACGCATCTTTTGTCTTGGCGCTCCGGTCCTTGGAAACCGTGTGAGGATACTTGGAAACAAACACAAAAGCCGACAGCGCTATAGTAGTTGAAGAAGTCGTGTGTTTGTGGGGGGTGGCGCCGCGCCAGTCACGCGACCGGTACCTTTTCCACCCCGATCAACCCCTTGTCAGGTTCACAGCCTGTGCGCTAATGCGACAACTGTGATTAAACAGAACCCAGTGGCCGGGCAGTCAGGCACTGCTTACAGCCGCAGGCTCATCCCACCCAGAAAGTGGTTTCATAGCCTCCCAGCAGCTCGAAATGTTCTCATTCCAAGCTCGCTGCAGGACAACGGGCTTTTCAACGCCCACATACCTTGAGATCCGGAAAGCTTTGTGCTTCAGCAACACCTCCACCCTGCGCTTTTGGCGCTGATCGTGTAGCTCAAGCGGCCTTTTCGAGCCACTTGAGGAAGGGCTTCAGATGGCATACCTGGCAAAATATTGTAGCAAGGCAACATCACTGCAACATCAGTCAACTTGTAAACCCAATGTACTTGCGACTTTGAAAGCCGCTGGCCTTCCGGGATTGGCATTAAATTCTCTTTGCCGTTCATGGTCGCTTGGCCAGCTGGCTCGGCAGGCGCCTCCGACTCCTCCTGCTTGTCCCGCTTGACGCCGTTGTCAGGGGCCCCAAGATTTGGCGCTGGCCGCTTTTTGGCCTCATGAGGCGAGGGTTCGACGCAGCCCCGGCTTGCCACAAAGTTTTGAGCTTAAACTTTGGAACTTCCACTTCCCCCCTTTAGCACAAACACTGGTCCCTTCAAAGCTCAACATGTTTTACACTTAGGCTTTCCATATTAGGTCTCCAGGCCAAAGAACATAAATGATGGCAAGATTCCGCTGACAATTTGAGTTGCTCGCGTGGGCAAACTGGTTCACCAAATTGAAGATCGTCGGGCATCATGTCCGGTTCTTGAGGGGCTGGAAGACTGCGAAGCTGTTGGCCAGGCTGATACACAGACTCCAGCTCCTGGAACGCTGAAACCTTTGTTCAAGCTGGTTTTGACATAGTTGGAACTACAGGCTCAAGCGAAAAACTGTTTGAACCATTTGGAAAACCCAGCAGGACATGACAAGCTTGGTCAACTCTCACACATGCGAGTCTATGTGTACACAAAAGCACAATTCTTTACTCACATGTACATGTAAATGTACACGTATATACACACATAGCATGCGCCTACCCACATCTCGCCAGTCCTCTTTGGTGTTCTCATAGTTCAGGAAACTGACCGCCGTGTCCGGAGCCAACCTTGACAGGAGGCTTTGTGTTGATTTTTCAAACCCCCCAAGTCAATTTCAACAAGCCGTTGCCAGGCAAAAGCTGCCGAGAAGCCCAAGAAGCTCCATAGTCTTGACATACACATCCTCCTCTTGGTTCTCGGTGTTGATTGCCGGGGCTTCTTGCCTCAGCATAACGGACCATTGGAACATGTGGATGTGTGTTGTTGCGGGACCCTTTGAATGAGAAATTTCAAGTGGTCTCAACCACCCCCGCACCCTCACGACATATTACACACCATGAGTCCGTGAGCCACTCACTGTTTTTCCAAAGGTAGCCACAAAAGAAAGTTGTCACTATGTCAGACCAGTTTGCTTGGACGGTGCGCTGGCAATAGAAGATGCGGATGACTTATGCGATTTTGCACTCGGAGACCTTCGAAGGTTTGCCAACTTCTTCAAGTAAGTCACATTCGGGTGCTTCCCCTGCTCATTCTTGCACCCTGAAGTTCGAGCATAGCTCAGCAACAGTTTCAGCTTGCCACCTTCTTTCAACGCCCTCTCCCTTCGAGCTCTCTCCTCCA